GTCTGGCTGCTTTTCCAGAACATTGAAGCACTTCAGGTGCTATGTGACTTCATAGGCTCTGGTTGCAGCTCTTCGCACTAGGATGTCATGAAGCAAAGTCCAGTTGTTCCTGAAGGAAAAAGGGAGCAAGCAGAATAACAGACCCAGCAGCACAGACACCTCACCAGCCAGGGTCCAGCCTCACAGTACCTGCAGAGATGAGCTGGGCAACCCAGGGATGGCAGCCACCAAGAGTCCAAGTCATCAGGCAAGATCATGGTGATGTGCGGGTAGGCGGCCAAGGTAGAAGTGCAAGTCGGGACTAGGTCTGGTGATGGTCACCACAGAGAGACAGTGCTCAAAGCCTGGCAGGACAGCTCACAGGTAGAGACCAGATCAATGTGGTCCATGGCTGGGTACAGAGATACTCCAGTGACAGAACTACAGACAGACACATTTCCACCACGAGTAGGAGTGAGAGCCCAGGCCTGAGCTTAAATAGAGCCCTTAAACCTGTTCACAGAGGGCATGGGTGGAGATTTCAGGTGAGGCTCATCAAGGCCATCAAGGCCCATGACTGACCTTAGGGCCCTGTGACATACACAGGTGACGATGATGATGCTGGGGCAGCAGGAAGACTGCAGCATAATGTAGCTCTAAGATACATAAGGGAATCACTGTGTGGATGAAGGTGTGCCACTGTTTTCTGATGCTGAGCAACACTAAGAAGGGCACGTTCAATTGAATATCATTGATTACTGAGGATGCAGCATCCTTGTTCTGCAAAGGACACTCCATGCATACGATTTTAAGGGCAGTTTCTTTGTAGTGTATTTACAGTAAGATACAGATGCTGAGAAACAGAAGAGCTGTGGAGGGAAAGAGGGAGGATGCAGGTGTTCCAGTCTATAGACAAAGAAGAGAACTCAGGAAACACAGAAAGAGAATCAGTTCTGAGAAATGGTTTGATTTATCCAAAAAGATTGAAGTTGGTATGATAGGAAGAATTATATACTTCTTCAGCAAGCCCCAAAGCACACAGAGCTTTATAAATCTCCCAGGGTTTCTATTATAACCACAAAAGGAGGTCCAAGAAAATAAAGCATTGGCAGTCCTAAGGGTTGTTATTGTAAAACTGGATTGAAGGCATGTGAAAAGAGGGACAAATCCTGAGGAAGTCAGTAGATTCATTATCATTAACTTCATTTCTGTCAGAGTTCTGAGTACTTCAGTCAGAAAACAGTGTCACACATACAGATAAGCCTCACAATATGCTCAGCATTACACGCTGTCAACAAAATCTGGAAGCCTGTCTCAAGACTTAAAAACCAGCTCACAGTCAGACAACCTTTCTGTCTACATGCTTTCTAAGCGCAGAACAGCTCTTAAAAAGAGAGATTTGACCTTTCAGATATCAAATAAATACCAGCTGAGCCTCTGACTCTGTCAAGAGTTTAAGGTGGAGGATTCAGAGTAAAAGCAGAAAGGAAGCTTTTAAATCTCTAACAGTCTAATAAAAACCCAGCTAGCATAACTTCTTATCACATGTGGTAGGTAATAGGGAGAGATGAGGATAGGATGTTAGACAGTAGATTGGGGCCAGAAAATCAGCCTATTGCTGTCCTGCAGCACTTAAAGGAGGCAGAAAACTATTCCAGTTTCTGTACAAGGATTGAGGACTTTTGTCATTACGTTTCTCTCCCCAGGTAAAGAGTAAGGCTTGGCATCCTTTGGAGAGATATCATCCCCTGTCCTGCAACACTGACTCCTCCATGCTACAGCAGGGGAAAAATGATTTAGCAAAGGCAAGGAATAAAATGGAGATGTTTGGCAATGTTCTGACGTGCCATGGAGCTCACTCCCCGCTGCTTTATCTTCAGAGCCATCACCACAGCCTTCTTCTGCACACTTGGTAGCCACAGTTCCATGTGTGTGAGCTGTCTCAGGCACAGACAGGATGCTTCAGCCATGAATGCTCCTGATACTGACGTAAATCCTCTTTAGATATCAACCAGCTGATCCTCTTTCCACCCTTTTCCTAGGCTCTCCTCAGCTTGTGGAAGTGGACTTTGAAGGAATTTGGCAGCTGATGCCAGTGGGGAACTCCCACGAAGGCAAAGGAGTTGTGTGCAGCTTGTTAGGGGGAAGGAACTTCTGTTGCTCTGACCAGAATGTCACACTCCAAGTGATGCTACATGTGATGAAGCACAGACTTTCAAACTAAGGATCCCACCTTATCCTCTCTCCCACAGATTCCTATGTATCTCCACCCATTGACCATTATGTTCTGCTGCTGATTATGTTCTAAATCTCTAGCCTGGAATAATGCAATGATTACTTTAGTGTGTGCGTAGGCTATTCAAACAAAAAGAGGCTGGAAAAGAATTACACAACTAAGGACAAATAATTAACTCAGCTCCCTACAAACTTCCCTAAATTCCAGGATTCTCGGGCTACTGGATAAAATAAAGTATCTTTGGATCTTTTATTCAGATAACTTTCACTCCCATACATATGAAGTGGTTTTGCAACAGCACTCATAATTTCATCTTCTAGAACAACGCTGGATTGACATTGTTGAAATCTAGTGCCTCTTGTTTAGCCATTTAAAGGCATGGAAGCTGTTGTGCAGCAAATCTCCCTCATACCATAGAATCATGGAAACATAGAATGGTTTGGGTTGGAAGGGACCTTAAAGCTCATCCAGTTCCAACCCCCTGCCATGGGCAAGGACACCTTCCACTAGAGCAAGTTGCTCCAAGCCCCGTCCAACCTGGTTATCTCTTGGGGAGGAAGAAAGCAAGCAAGCAGAAGAGCTTCCAGTACTTCATCCCATTACCCACTGGAATTATAATACCAAGGAAACATATTTCCCACGAAGCCCAGGCTCAGAATAGCATTTGAGGCAATCAGATCCGTTGCTCTGAGCTGCATTTATCTGAAGTGAGGCCCAGTGAAAGCCCATGTTACCTTTTTCTCCTGAGAAGTGAGATTAGGGGTTCTCACAGGCGCATGGGGTATTCCTTTCCTCCGACCTCTGTTTTCAGGCAAAGGGTATAGAGGAAGGCCACGACAGATTTCCTTCAGGCTGCTCATGGCTGCTGAGGAAATACAAGGAGGAAAGGCAAGGCAAACAGAAGAGGTGCAAGGAATAGGAAGGTGCAGGCAAGCAGGATGTTAAGGGATGCAGATCCCTCCACTCCAGGTGATCAGAAGAGGACAGCCTGTCCTTTGGCTTCTGCAAACAGCTCTTGAAGCACAGGGGCAGGTGGCAGAGGTGACCCTCCTCTCCCCTCCGCTCCATGCCATTGGCTCTTCCCTCCTCCCCCAAAATGAATGATTCACAGTTTTGCTGCTGAGTCCCTGGGTGCTTTGTCACTAAGCCACTAGAGCAAACTCAGCCACCTTCCAAATCGTCTCATTGCCCCAGTGTCCTAGTGAGAGTCCTGGTCTGGAGCAGGAACCTTGCCTGAGACCTCAAGGATCGGGCATTTACATTTCCATGCTTTAGGAACTAACTAACTATTGATCACATCACTGTTCATGCACACTGTTCAGCTGAGATGGGCATCCCATGTTTGACACCTCTAGGTATGGGCTGTTCCTCAGATGTCACCAGCTCATCTTCTAAATAACAGCAGTTATCATTGACAGCCCTTAGGTGTTAGCTCCTCTTAGCTTCTAGGCACAAATGGACTTTATTAAACTGGAAATGCACCCATTGGAACTAGTGGTTTTCTCAATGCAGGCAATAATTGGGAGGACAAATTCAGGTTCTCAGGTCTAAGTTACTTTTATATCCTACAGTCAACAACAACTAGAAAGCCATAGGGTACTGCCACTGAGACATCACAACTAACTGAATATCCTTCACTTTGATTTCCCACTTACAGTGCAACGTGAATTCTGCTGTCCATCTTGAGCTGTTTAATAACACAGGAGCTTCTTGAACTTTATTACATCCATGGAACTACAGCTCTTGGCCAGGCGACTCTCTCAAGTGCCACAGTTTAAGCCTGGTGAAATTGACTGGGAGAGACACTTCACTTAGGAATGAGCCTAAAACCTGGGAATAAAACCCCACTGCATTTCCCCACAAAGGCAGCGATCAACAAGCGGTGACAACAAAGCTCAGTTATTAAATGACAGCATCTCATTAATGTCACATCGCCTTCAGCTCTGGGACATGCTGCACATCCCCAGCTCCCACTGAAGATGCTGGGGTTGAAAGAACTAGGAGCATCCCAGGGGAGCTGAGTGTGCAGCAGACGCAAACCTCTGAAGGATGCTACCTGTCATTCATGGCAGGAGAGTTTTGGTTGGTGTTTATACACTGATTTAGCTGCTTTCAAACAAAAGGCAAAGACAAAAAGGAGAGGGAGAAGAATTCTTCATATTTAAAGAATTTCTGGTGGGCTTTCGCATTAAAAACATACAAAAGGAAGGTAAAGTCAGAAAATCTGCCCCAAAACTGAGCTAAATAACCCTGCCTTATGTGAACATTTCCACCCCAAAGGGAAATAAATGTCATTATTCTTTATGACCCACGTCCTCCAAATCCCTGCACACACACGAGCACAAGAATAACCTTGTTTGCCTCTCCACTCCCATCAGACCTGCTTCCTTCTGTGACACCCAGAATTGAACGGTGTGAAAAGTGAAGATAGAGAGAATGAAGCTGGAGGGGGGTGTAGGAGCTCACTGAAATAAATGATTTCTGGGGCTGAGCACTTTCACCCCGTTTGCTGCATGCTGGAGCCTCCCGAGTACATCCAACTCCAGGGACATGCCCGGTGTTTGGTGTGCCAGTGATGATGCTCCAGCAGACACCCCGGCTTCTCTGGAAAGCCCCAGGTCCCCTCACTGCCAGATTTGTCCCAGCTCAGGTCTGTGATGATGGAAAGAAACCCTGCTCGTGTGCTCCTTTGTGCACCTATGAACCCTAAAGACATCCCCCCTGCTCTCCCCATGCACCGGGGCTGCCTTTTGGTACCTGAAGGGGGATGCTCCGGGCAGTGCCCGGAGCAGGGCGGGTGTCGTGCTCCGGGCGGGCGGGCAGAGGGTGCTGCAGGGACAGCGGGCACCGGCCGGGCGGGCAGCGCGGTGCCCCCGCCCTGCACACACAGGCACAGGCAGAGGGACAGACACCGGCTCCTGGAGAGGAAGATGCGTCTGGAACACGACGCCTGCATCTGAGCACGGCAAGGACCAGAGCAGCCGACGAGGAGGTGCGGAACCGACCCATCCTCCTCCTCCTCCCGATACCCCCCCCCGCCCCCCCCAAGCACATATAAAGAGCAGGAAGAAGATCACATGTTAGAATAATCCCCTCTGCAGCCAGACAGGACCAGAGAGGAGAGCTGCCCAGTTAGGACTGAGAGATGCGCTAAAAGCTGAAGGGAGGCACGGCCAAAACTTGAAGATAACCAGGCACCGTCGGGAGGAAGGACCCCCAGCCCAAGCGCTGCTGGAGCAGGAGGGAGGAAGGATTCCCCAGCGTCCCCCCTCTTCCCTTTCTCCCCTCTCTCCTGGCGCTGGGCATCGCATCTCCTCCCCTGCCCTTGTGCCCTCCGCAGCCCCCAAGGCTGGGGAGAGCCGCACTCCGGCGGCAGCGGCAGCCGGGACCTCCCGGGCACTGGCCCCGGCCCCGGCGGGCTGCCCTTGGCTGCGTTTTCGACTCCCTGGCGCTCGCTGTGTGAAGCAAATCCCTTGGAGGTGGGGGAGAAGTGGCTTCCGTGACAGCGGAGGCAGGAGGGAAGTGATACAAGATAAACCAAACCAAAACACAAGACAAGAGAGAGAAGAGCCAAGAAAGCACTTGCTTCTCATCATCCCTCAGGGAGAAAAGCCAACTCCTCTCTTCTATGATCCTCCGCTGCAGGGAGCAAAGGGAGAGAAGGTCCGGGGATACCCTGCTAAGGACGCGCTGCCCGGACCCCAGCGCCACCATCAGCCGCTGGGGAAGGTCGCCAAGGGGAGCCGAGGCAGAGCCAGAGCCAGAACCAAAACCAAGCTCCTCCGAAAGCAAGGAGCAGAAATGAAAGTTTCCAAATAGCATCCATCCACTCGCCAAGGACCGGACGGAACGGAGCTCGCTGAGGCGCTCAGGGATGTGAACGTCCCCAGCCCGCTGCATGGAGAGGGGTGAAGACACCCAGAATCCTTATTTATTGGAAGCAATGAATGGGTGACACCCAGAAGGCATCTGAGTCCTGAGGACCCCCCCCCCCCCCTACACACACACACAACAAACAGCTCTGGACCCAAACAAGACCAAGAAGAATGAGGCAGCAGCCTTGACCCCTGCACTGAGGGGAAGGTGAGCAGAGAGAAAGCAAGCAAGCACAGAAAAGCCATGCAAGCACCAAACCTGTAGGTTATTGCAGCTCTCTTTTGCTTCACTGAGGACAGCTATTCTGCTGACAGCCATGCAGCATCAAGGCATCATGCTGATTGTGTTCTTGGAATATGTTATATCTGGCCATGGGGAAGCAGGTAAGTGAAATACATCAATATTGCCATTCTGAAACAATTTATCCTAAGTTGAGTGAAGGGAAGGGGAATAGAAATCAGAGCTGTTGGCTAAAAGAAATGATGTTAACATCTTTAGGTTGGATTTTTACAAGGAATCTGGGTTGGTCAGTATATATATATGTGTATATATATATATATATATATATATATATGCTTCTTACCCCTTGCAATACACAGCTTTATAGCTCAGTCTCTTCCCAAAGGCTTAGGATGTACAGTTTCATACATCCTTACAAGAAAAAAGTGTTATTTTTGTGAATGAAAGTAACAGAAAAAGAGAGAGAGGGAGATGGATTGAGATGTGCTGGGTACATGTTTTGAGGATGAAACATTGCCTTCCTAGGCAGGACAAGGGTGAACCAACAACATCCTTGGACAGCAGCACTGGAGGAATCGGAATTATTCTCTGTTAACTCCGTTGTGCATCATTAAAAGTCAGAGACACTGTTTAGGAATTACTGTTTATCCAAGCCAGCCCATTCATTCAGTGTATTCCCTGATTTCATAGTTAACATGCAGTGGACAAGATTAAATTAGCATTAGATTAAAAACGGATTAGGACTGAGTCCATTCCCCACACTACCTGTGCTGTTTAAGGGATGGATTTAAGGTATTTTCATACATTTATAATCCTGTCACATTATCCCATGACTCAGTTGGGAAAAAGCCTGTCTATCACAACATGCCAGGGAATGAGTGGAGGGAGGACATGTACCTTAGTCCTTTCAGTGTCTCATCTTGGGCATTCCCTGTTTTCCCAGTCTGGGACTCTCCCTGTAGGATACATCTGTTGACACACAGCACAGGAAGGTTGGGGAGCTGGCGGTGAAGCTGCTGATGCTGTTGCAGAAGGCAGCCTCTTACAAACCAGCCTAAATCTGCTCTGCAGCCAATTCAAAGGTGAAAATGAATCTGCAAGGAGATGCAGCCTGCAGCTGACTGCTTGGGAAGTGAATTTGAGGGGAGGGTGGGAGTTCTGCATGGAGCTAAACATGCTCTGAGTGTAACAGTGTGGGACATAGGGAATAACAGCAACATAATTGGATACTGAAGGTGATGATGTTAAGGATTCAATGTCACTTCAAATGAATATATGCTGCTGGGTCAAAAGGTTTTACAAGCCGTCAACCTGTGAAAACACAAGGGTTACCTGCTCATTCTATTCTATTATTATTATTACTATTATTATTATTATTATTGAAGCAGTATTAAAATCTTGAATTAACCTTGAACCTCTGTAGGTCCTCTTACAGGCAGGGTCAGTACTGCTCAGACTATGGTTAGTCTGGACAGTGCCCATCTATGGAAAACGATTTGGAAGTCTCAGCCTTTTCCTGAGCAAAGACATGTACAGTGAGGTGTGTTTCGTACCTATATTATTAGCCCATACAGTAAACTCATTTTTCAGCCCTATAGTTGATCCCTCCTGATCAAAAGCAAAACATATTGATGGGGCAGCTGTGTGGGGAATACATGAAGTATAATATTTGTGGGGAGCACAATATTCGCCTTCTGCTGTCTCTGTGCAGAGAAGTCAGTCTGGATTGTTAAGATTGGCTGCTTGCATCTTTAACTGGAATGCCAAAGGAAAATAAAACCCCTTAGTGGTTAGGCTGGAGGAGTCACTTAGGTTTTATATTGTGAGATGTGACACTTGGGTGATCTTTCCCTAGCGCTGCTCCCCTCCCTCTGCAGTGGTCTCTTGCATATTGGGACAGTTGTTAAGAAAGGTTTCCTCTGGGCTCAGGTTATTCAGCTCCTCTGTAAATGAAGTTGTAGGTGTTGAAGCCCATTGTTACTCCAGAAAGGATGTGGCAGGCAAACTGCAACTGGACACAGTGGATGAGAGCCCAGACCTGGGGTCTTATTCTGTCCATGCCCTGGGCCATGGAAGCAGATTGGGTTTGTAGCATATTCAGAACTTCACCTCTGGGGTATTTATGAAGGCTGGCTCTGTAGCTCCAGTTATTACGGCTATTTTAGTGCAGAAATACATCAGGCTACTCATAAATGGATGAAGACTTGCCAAACTTATTGCATGTTGGCCCCAGATAACAAAGGGCTGCATGGCACTTCTGTTGTAACAGCATTAAGGGGTGAAGTTCTAGGTCTGACTAATAAAAACTCGTGCCACTCCTGTCCCCAGGGTGCTTGGCTTCAAAAGAACATCTGAAGTTTTTGGTTATTAAGGAAAAAGCTAAACTGATACAGAACAAGAGAAATCCAGGTTGGACATAACATGCACAAAGTGCTCCATCAAAACCATAGCAGAAGATACACAAAGGTTTTAGTGTTCACATGTTGCACAGAACTGTGAAATTCACTCTCCTGTCTCACCATAGGAGACTTGGACACACACAGTCATAAATTTGATACGAAAAGAAATAGAAATTCCAATTAAAATCACTCACAAAAGGCAGCTCTCCAGTCACCTCCGCAGGCTTTGAGTGACCATATGACCTTTCTAATGTCAAGTGTCCAATGGAGGGTGAAAAAAAGTCCTAAAAACCCCCAGAACCTGTTTTTAATTCATGTCTACAATGTTCCGTTCCATTCCAAGGTGAGTAAGAGATGTCTGTTTGAGATGGCATCTCAGGAATATCAGTAGTGTGACCTCCCTTCAGCTGTAGGATTCCCTAACCATTGGGTAATGCTGTTGTTACAACACGTGCTGGGCATGTGCCATTGACCTGTCACTTTATGGCACAGCTCTGAGGAGCCAGAAAACAGGCAAATAAATTAATCATACCGTAGCCAAACTCTATGGAGTAAAACCATTCTCTATTGAGCAAACCCATCCTCTATGGAGTAAAAACTCATCAACTCCATAATAACATGTAGTGCCCATGCACAATCGAAGTGTTTAGTTCTTTATGAATTATTCAGTGAGTCCTCCTGGCACTTGGGGTGAGTTGTTTGTTCTCCTGCTGCTGTTTCTGTCCTGCAGCAGTCTTTCCTCACTGTCCAGATTCCACATTTCATGTTGTTTCCCCAGAATCGGTGAGTGATGGACAGGCTGCAGCATCCCTGTGGCCAAGCAATGTCCTGCCAATTGATTTCTTTAAACACAAAGCTTTTAATCGACTGCAGATTTTGTCTTCCAACTCCCTCCTGCTCATTTGCACTTTGTTCTTCTCCCATTTTGCTAATGACACAGCAGTTCAGACAGGAACTGTTTATTGATATTGCTGCATTAGCTGGCGGAGGAAATCAACCTTCTTGTGACTCTTATGCAAGAGAACAACCATGGTTTTCTCCCTTTCCAGGTTCAGACAAACCAGCTGAAAAACTCGATACCAGAATAATAGCCCATTTATGAGAAATATCAAAAGCAGCCATTCCCTTTAATAAGTTTCCTTTTTTACTTTGACATCCTTGTCTGCAAAGCTTCCCCTACGTAAGTCCTTGAATTCAGAACTGCTGCATCCCATTTCCTTCAGAAAAGCTTCAGTAGTGTGATGCATCAGCAGAGATGGACTTCCTTTTAATTATATGTTATATTTATCCATAATCCAATAGCACTTGCAATATGAATGCATTCTTAATCAAAACTAAGCAACCTGACTCTTTGAGCTAATGCTTGTTCCAAGTTCAGTTATAAGATCAGTCCCATTAAATTGTCTGGAGGCAAAGATGACATCTTTCTGCAGCACTGAGCAATATCAGCTAAAATCCAATCTACTTTAAACACAGAAATTTCTGTGATTTCCTTATTTCCAGTAACTTTTACCAAACAGCTTGGACACGAACATGAACACGAACCTAAATGCCACTTGCAAAGACATTCTCAAGGCTCATTGTGGTTTTGCTGACCTGAAAACCTGAGTCCTTTCTCAGGACAAAAAGCCTCAGAGAAATTGCAAGGAACCTCCCAGATAAAATCTCTGCAGCTCCTGGTGTTCCCCTGTACCTGTACCAGGCTCGGATGGAGTAAGAAGTTCATAATGAGAAAGATAATACATTGAAATGGTCATTAAGCAGTGAGGATGGTGTGAGGGCTGGCTGGAGGATCTCCATTACCACCTGCTGAGTTGAAGCTGGGGAGCCAAGAACAGAACTGATAGAGCCAAACATCCCAATCTCCTTTCCTCTCCAGCTGACTTCTGCAGCAAATCCTGTGTCATGAAAATCCATCACTGTGCTGGCACAGGCAGTGGTGGGACTGAGGAGGAGCAGCTTTCATTCCTCTGATGCGAGGACTATAGGAGCACATGTAATTCAGGCACTGCTGCAGTCTTCCAGTCACCTAGGACTTCACTGGGATACTAGAAAACATCTTGGCCAGCCCATTCCAACCACTGGTGGAAGACAACCTCCACCAGCAGGAAACCACTACTACTGTGTCTCCAGACACCTTCTCTTTCCTTGCGGCTGCTGCTTAGTGTCTGCAAGGCACACACACTAAGTCCAAGTTCCTTTGAAGGTGGCTTCCACCTGCTCCTAAGAGTAGTCAAGGGCATTTTTGGATGATCTGATTTCTTGCTATCTGAGGCTTAAGACTACCTTATGCTCCAGGTAAGCTAAGACAGTATACTCCCTTGATCAATAGGATCCAATAGACATACAGCAACTTTGTTTTGCATCCTAATCCTGGGAAGCAAAATGCACGAGGTGTTTTCCAAACCAATACCCATGTCTGACCTTTCTCTTATGGCCTGGGCAGAAATGCCATGAAGGAACTAAGGACAGAAACAACTCAGAGGCAAAACCTTGCATGTTACACACTAGTTTTCACCTTAAACATTCCCTTTGGAAAGAGGGACATCAGTTTCAACCAACTACATTTACAATTTGAGTATTTTTATAGGGCTGAATTAGAGTCTTTTTTTTCTTTGACATAACTTCACCTTAAAACCTATTTTGCTTGGGGAAAGGCTGAATAAAAACCAAGGAGGGATCTGAAATGTTGACCTAGACTGTTGAACTAATAGCCGACCTCTGAACTGCTCCTGGATTACCCAGGGTTTACGGTCATCCTAGGTTTCATTGGAAGGGTCATTTCCTGTAGGACTTCCATCCAGCCATCTGACTTGTGACCCCTTGGATTAGATTTATGACCTTGCAAGGTCACTCTTTAACTCCTTCTAGACTCTTAAGTTGCAAAGAGGACGTCGTACGTCATTAGAAACGCAGTTTTCACCAGCATGGTAAGGTTTTGGAATGCTCTTTAATGCCAGTTAAAGACACTATTGATTTCCAAACAGTATTAAGACTTTGTAGTTATTCCTGTCCTTTTTAATTCAGAAGCAGCTGTACACATGGAAGATACCCCCAAATTTGCCACTCTTTGGAAATTTGACAAACAATATTGTCACTTTCTGTCCATGTCAAGGTATTTGAACAAGAGACTTGGTTTTAAACTCTTCTAAGCATTAACAACTCCAGCTGATCTCAATAGGAGCAGCAGAAACTCAACTTCCTTTCAAAATTATGCCAGTAATGAGTCACTACAGAAATACATGCATTCTTTCTGTGTTTGTATGTGTAATTAGTGTCCATAATGAGCTGGCCAGCAATAGTCTCTTTCTTTAATGTATCTACAATGTGTAGAACAGTTTGACTTTGCTTTCTGGTAACAATGAAAATAAATGCATTGAATAGATTCAGCCTCAGTTAGAATCATAGAATCCTAGAATAGTTAGGGTTGGAAAGGACCTTAAGATCATCCAGTTCCAACCCCCTGCCATGGGCAGGAACACCTCACACTAAACCATGGCACCCAAGGCTCTGTCCAACCCGGCCTTCAACACCGCCAGGGATGGAGCATTCACAGCTTCCCTGGGCAGCCCAATACAGTGCCTCACCACCCTTACAGTAAAGAACTTCCTCCTTATATTCAATCTAAACTTTCCCTGTTTAAGTTTTAACCCATTACCCCTTGTCCTGTCACTCCAGTCCCTAATGAAGAGTCCCTCCTCAGCATCCCTATAGGCCCCCTTCAGATACTGGAAGGCTGCTCTGAGGTCTCTACGCAGCCTTCTCTTCTCCAGGCTGAACAGCCCCAACTTTCTCAGCCTGTCTTCATACAGGAGGTGCTCCAGTCCCCTGATCATCCTCGTGGCTCTCCTCTGGACTTGTATATAGACTTGTTAGAGAGCTTTACAGGAGTGAAAGTAAGAAAACACAAGATTTCTGTGGTTAAACATTAAATTCATGTTTAGCCATCAAATTTAGATGGACACAACTGCATTTTCAACAGACGTATCAAAGCGAAGCACCATGAGCATGAATTTTCTAAAGACCTCAGTTTCTGAGTTAGGATCAAATCCAAGGACTAGATTTACTAAGAAATTCCCTCCCAACTTTGTGTGAAAAGATGAAGTAGCTCTCCTTAGAAGTACATCACTCCCCAAACGAAGATGCCAGTCATTTGTATGGTCACCTATGTTACAGCCTGAGAACTGTGTGAGAAACTCTCCTTGCTGTGTTTCTTTGCCTTGTGTTTCAGACCCCACCAGGCCCCGAGCCTTCCGCTGCAATGGTCGGTCCTGCAACCCTCCAGTGGGAAACCTGGCAACAGGGAGGACACCGGTCACCCTCACCACGTGTGGCCAGAACAGCACAGAGCTCTACTGCTTCTACCCAGACCAGAATCTCCTCCATCAGGTCACCCATGGCTGTGGGCAGCCTCGCTGCACCAAGTGCAATGCCAACCAGCCTGATAACTCCCATCTCCCTGCTGACATGACGGATGATTTCTTTGCAAACCCCATCTCCTGGTGGCAGTCTGCCCAAGGGGTACACAGGGAAGAAATCAGACTGGACTTTGAAACAGAATTCTACCTGACCCATGTCATTGCTGTGTTCAAGTCACCTCGCCCAGCTGCAATGGTGTTGGAAAGATCCCAGGACTATGGGCAGACTTGGAGGCCCTACAAGTATTTCTCTGTCAACTGTACAGCGACTTTTGGACTCCAGGATGATCTGATTGAGGAGGGCTCCATGTGCACATCCAGGTATTCAGATGCAATGCCCTGCACCAGAGGAGAGGTAAGTAGTAACTGAGGTTTGGACTGAGTTTAATGTCAAACAGCTAATGACTGGCTGAAAATCAGAGAGCATGTACTCAAAGAGATGCCATGCATATAAATGAAGAAAGGTCACCCATCCCCAAAAGCTTTGTGTTAGAAAATGAAGGGTAAGAAGAAGAATTATATATCAATGAAAATTAATAGAAACGCTATAAGGAATTTCTTTTATGGGAGTTGCACACTGCCGAATTTTACATTGCAGATGCCAGGAACTGAGCTAGAATTCCAACCAAATAGATGTAGGGAAATACACATAGAGTCTGATCTATCCAAACTGTTTTCCTGCTTTAGGATGACATGAGCTGCATGGTCATAGAATCATAGGATCATAGAATAGTTTGGGCTGGAAGGGACCTTCAAAGGTCATCTAGTCCAACCCACCTGCAATGAGCAGGGACATCCTGAACTAGACCAAGCTGAACAGCACCGGTTCCAATACCAACCCCTGAGGAGCACGGCTTGTCATGGGCTTCCACTGGGACACTGAGCCATTGACCACAACTCTCTGAGTGTGGCCACAGACAAAGTTATGGCATTTGGATGTTTAATACAAATAAAACAGACTTTCAAGAAGGTACAGTAGCAAATATTTGAAGATCATAGGACAAACTCACTAACACCTACATGGTCACTCCTTTTCTTCTCCATCTAAAAAGTTCTGGATGATTGACTGACTTTTAAATGCATCCTTCCCCTAAATTTAGTGCAAATTTCTTGCTGGGGGCGACCACTCTGTATTAAGCCAAAGGATCCAGGAACAGGAAGTGGAAGTGAGCAGCCAGGTTTCACTATTTCAGTGGGAAAAGAGCAGACATAAAGGCACAAAAGGAGATTATGGGAGATTCCTATAACCACAACAGAAGCTGAAGTCCTTTCACTTCCCTCTCTCTTCCTCAGAGAAGTCCCAACCCTCTTGGTCTCCCTGTCTGGAAGTGATCATGCAGGTTTGGCAGTAATACTTTGCTGCACACTAAGCTCAGGTGTGAGATGAATGATCCAGATGGACTTCAAAACCCACAGGGGCTTCAGCAGCGCACTTCCAAATGCACTTGAGAAATAAACTAGTGTACTATACCTGACACAGGGAAACAGCACTGAGGAGTGAGCTCCTCTTTGTGCAACAGGCCAGGAACCATCTCTACGTACTAGAAATCTGGAGCAGATCAGACTACTGAACTGCCTTGTTCCTGGAGTAGCAATTCTGCTGGTCAGTTATGATACATTTAGCCACATATATCCAAATGTCTTCTGCAGAGAGATTACAGTTTGCCACATCAATACAGAATCGAGGGAACTAATACAATTCCCACTCTTGTGTGCCTTCCAATCTAAAACATGAAGTACTTTGCAAGATCCATTTAACTATCTCCAGCACCATCACAGGGTCCTGTTGCTGTTTCACAGATAGGGAAGAAGAGCACAGAAAGGTGAAGCAGGACAATTCTGCTTGAGTAAGGAACAGAACACGAAGTCTGAGGCAAATGCCTTGGCCTTACATACAAAACAACTCTCTCTTCTCTAGTACAGTATCCCCTTTTGCCCTGCGCTATGTTGGCTTTTGTGCTTACTTTACCTTGGGGAATATCATCAAGACCATGTGCTGCTGCTACAACAAATCTGAGAAGTGCATGGCAGAAAATCAAATAATAAAACATTCATTCAACACAAGCCTTTGTGATAACAAGTGTCAAAATGATTCTGTCAACTTGGGCAGCAGCTACTGCGCAATGAATATGTGTATGCTTAAATCAATCAACACCGAGGTAGTAGATGTTAGAAAACACTAGTAAGAACAGTCACATATTTACAGGTCACCCTTGCAGATCCCAAATACTTTCATCAAATGTTACATGAATTGAATACATAGAGGTCATTTCTTCCAGAGAGAGCACACAGGAAGCAGCTTAACAGAGAACAAGACAAATATTGTTTCCACAGCACATCAACCCAAAAGCATTCTGAAGTTCTGGATAGACTTTACAGAGGCCTCTTAATGAATCCATAACATGCCACTATGGTAAGGGTGCAAAGGCATTGGGCTTTTCAGGTCAGCAATGGGACACAGCAGATCCTTTTGTGAATGAAAATAAATGAAGGCAGAGCATAGTTATTTAAAGTGGTACCTGATCAGGTTTGCCTGACACTGCTACTGTCACTACAAGTCTCACAGGAGCTTTGCTCATGTATCTCAGAACTGTCACTTTCCACCTTATTTTGGAGATGTCACAAATGCCCCAGAGCATCCCTTCAAGCACTGACTAACAACTGACTTGGAAGGAAGCTGAATGAATCTCCACCATTACTTTCTGCAGTGTTCTCTGCTTCTGGGTTGCCCAGGGAAGCTGTGAATGCTCCATCCGTGGTGGTGTTCAAGGCCAGGTTGGACAGAGCCTTGGGTGCCATGGTTTAGTGTGAGGTGTCCCTGCCCATAGCAGGGGGGTTGGAAATGGATGATCTTAAGGTCCTTTCCAACCCTAACTATTCTATGATTCTTTCCCATCTCCACTCCAACCTACCCAATTACTGATCCTGGCTGAGCCCTGGATTGCTGAGGAGGTCACATCACAAGCTCACAGCATTTCTGAAATGACCAAACCCATTCCAAATTAAATGGTCATTAATGCCCTGAGATAAGTGCCAGTATTCTCTGCTGAGGGGGCTGGAGCAATTTCCACTCAATGCCACTCAGGTTTTTCTTGAGCATTGTCCTATTCATTTAGAGAAGTGGCACAAATTCCTTTTAACAGGGCACAAAAGGAATCAAAAAAGAGATGGTTACTAAGAACACTTTGGTTTAAAACCCATGTTGGACACATCATGAAACAAGATTTCAGGGGAACTGGCTTCCAGAAGTGAGAATGTAGGTGTGAAAGGAGAAGGTGATAGCGTTGCAGCAGCTTACATGCAGCTATAAACTCAGATGCATCTTCCTGAGGCAGCACATGCTGGTGGTCCTCCGAGACCACTGAAAGAGGCTTTTTCTGGGATCATGATGGAAAACTTGGCAGAAAAGGAATTTTTAGGAGACTAGAATGGAAGCAAAAGACATCTGGGTGAGTGGTGTGAAAACGTCACAACAGAACATAATGTATCACTAAGTTAAGGTATATATCCCTTGTAGATTATCCCTTCTCTTTCACCTCTGACAGGGTCACACATCTCCATTCCATCCAGATAAGGTACAGTTAAGACAGAAGGTGTCATGCATTGGGGAACAAGTCCTGTAGAAATGCAAGGAGATAACTTCCTCATGTCTCTATTTCAGTCTTCTTTTACTCCAGCACTTACTAAATCCCTTACTCCTGCTGAGATCCAGAGTACTTCTGCAGCTAAAATCTTTCTGAGATCCTAGATTCCCCCCTGGAGCCTTCTCTTCTCCAGGCTGAACAAGCCCATCTCTCTCAACCTGTCTTCATGAGAGAGATCCTATGCTCATCATCTTCAGTACACCAACCTTCAACATAACATCAGGAACTCAAACCAACCCCACCTTTTTAAGATCTGTTAATCTACTGTAAGTGCATCTATAGGCATCAACGCAGAACTTTCTTACCTACTTGTCCATCTGGCTTTCTGATCTAAAACAACTATGCTATATACTTAAGGAGCCTAAAATGAGCCTTCAGATCAGCGAATGCAAATCAAGCCTCTGGCCCAAACAAAAGGAGAAATGACAACAACATTGCATCAGACATTAGTGTGACTTACAGCTTAAGCATCATATGGGGGAAACTGGGAGCAAAATGTTTCAACCTGCATCCTGACAGCACATGCAGGCAAGGATCTGAGAGATTAGGAGCATGTGTTTAATAAACTGGAATATCAGGAAATGAAAACAAATGTTCTCCTCCACTGAAGAAGATGTTTGCATGGAAGGAAGACATTAGCATGCAAAGTAGGGTAGCACACTGACCTGCTTATAACCACCAGACCCAAGAGGAGACCCTTTCCCTACTGGGTCTGGCTACTGGAAGGGAGTTTTGAATCAAAGGCTGGTTCATTTATGTGAGTGTCTGCGTGACAGATGACACCATTGAAGTGTGATATAATAAACCCATTACTGGAATTCACTGGGGGCTGGAAGAATTGTGTATGCCTGAATTAAGGAACTGGTTTCTATGGTAACATGTTAAGTGTGCCTTGCACAGAAGACCTGCTCATCCTCCGTTTTGTATCCTGTGGTGACCTCTTTAGGGACAGAAGTCCCCAGCAGTGCCTTTTGTCAGAGATGAGTGGACTCGCTTTGTAGCTAAAAGACTTTTAATCACTCTTCGAAATACTCTCTGTGAATGCCAGATCAAGAAGTGTTGTGATGGGATGGATGCACTTCTGTCTGCTTCAGGAGCCACCAAGTTGCTCAGACAGAAGCCACAGTCAACCCTATGGAAGGCCTCTTCCTCTGCACTGGCCCTGAAGACATCTGCTGCCTTTCTCTGTCTACAAGGACTCCTTGAGCAAGTTCTGGCAGCGAGGGGCCACTGCACACAGACACCAAACCAGGCCAGGGCCAGGGCTCTGTGGAGTGTATGTGATCCTGTTCCAAGGACCTACATTTTTTGCTCTTTTCTCAGGCTCCTCTTTTCCTGTATCCATGCCAAACCTTCTGATAAACAAAGGAGGATCCCCCGCACACACACACACATACCTCATTAAGTGGCAACATCAATAATTCAAGAGGTCACCATTAGGCTTCAGTGGCTTCTTCAAGGTCTGATCTCATACGGCAATGGGGTCACTGAAAAGGAACATGCTCAGCACATCACAAGGGTGAATTCCTAGTAGCTAAAATGCAAGGGCAGGGTCTTGCACTGCAGTGATTTGTCCAACAGTCATCAGGACTGGCTTCTCTAAGTTGTATGATACTCGGGTTATTCCGAGTGCCAGACGGGAGGGATTCCAGGAGGGATTAGTCACTAGTGAAGGTAAGTGCCCGAATGTTATGACTAGGGCCGTCTGTTC